GTCTTAAGTTCCTGGAAAGCAGCCTCTGCCTTGTCCGTCCATTTAAATTTGAGATCCTTTCTGGTAAGCTCCGTGAGTGGTTGAGCTACCTTGGAATATCCCGAGATGAATCTTCGGTAGAAGTTGGCGAAGCCTAGGAAGGCTTGCACTTCCTTGACCGTGGTCGGTGTTGGCCATTCCAACACTGCCGTTACTTTTGCTTGGTCCATCTTGATGCCGTGCGTTCCAATAATGTAACCCAAGAATTCGACTTGGTTTTTATGGAACTCGCACTTCTCTGGTTTGAGGAGTAAGCTGTACTCCTTTAGTTTCTTCAGGACGAGTTTGACATGCTTGACATGCTCCTCCTTGGTTGCTGAATACACCAGGACATCGTCTAGGTAGACAATGGTAAAGATGTCTAAGTATTCGTGCAAAGCATCATTCATCAGTCATTGCATAGATGCGGGTGCGTTTGTTAGCCCAAAGGGCATGACTTGATACTCGAATAGGCCATAGCGGGTGCGGAATGCTGTTTTCCACTCTTCCCCAGCCTTGATTCGGATCAGGTTGTATGCTCCTCGCAGATCTAGCTTACTGAAGATCTTTGCTCCTTGAAATCTATCGTGTAGTTCGTTGATTAACGGCAGGGCATACCTGTCCTTGATTGTGATGTTGTTCAACGCTCGATAGTCCACACATAACCGTAGGGAGCCGTCTTTCTTTGGTACGAAAAGCACCGGACTTCCTGCGGGTGATGTGGATGGTTTGATGAATCCTTTTGCTAGGTTATCATCAATGTACTCCTTAAGTACCTTCAGCTCCTTTTCCGATAGCTGATATATTGGTCCGAACGGTGGACTCTTGTCTTTCTCCAAAGGTATCTCGTGATCCCATGGTTGGTGCTTAGGAAGCGCCTCATTCTTAGGGCCTTCCTGGAATAATTGCTCGTATTCCTTGTACTCCACCGGTATACTCGTCGGTGAGGATGCCTGGGCTAGGTCATCGAGCTCGGAGGTTGCACATAACTCCTTCCGGCCCTGGGAGGGTTTCTCCCGTTGTCGCGTGTCCGTCCGTTGTTCACACGCGCACTGGCTCATCACAACTTTCTCGTTCCACCAGTCGATCTGGGGGTTGTGTTTCTTGAGCCATGGCATACCAAGGATGCACGCATGGTTGTCCATGTGCACGATGTCAAACTGAATCGTTTCCTTGTGCCCGTGTAGCATGACCATTTCCAATGGGACCGTTTCGTGGGTCACCATTCCTTCATTAGTCGAGATGGGCTCTCCATCTACGACCATTAATGGGTATGGTTCGGCTTTCATTGTTGTTTTGAAGCCTTGCGTGTCTGCTACTTTCTTTGTCATAAAGTTGCCCGTCGCTCCTGAGTCAATCATTGCTCGGAGGTGTCGCTGTTGTATCTTAGCGACCACATATAGTTGCATGCTGCCCGTCGTGGCGCATAGCTGGTCTGTACTAGGCCTCTTCGTGTCGCTCGCCGGTGGCCTACCGTCGAGGACTCCTAGTTTTTTGACTCGTCCGAGGAAGGATAGTATTCATCCACTTCCAATGGTGGTCCTTGGGGAGATCGTTTCCCTGTCTCTGCTGCGTCGTTCAGCAGGTGTGGATATCTTTCGTATACCTGTTCGCTTTTGATAGGCAAGTCCCCTTCAGACTGGCTTCGCCTGAGGGCATGAACTTGCTCTGCGTCTCTGAAGTGTATCCTGGGCGAGGATCGGGGAAACAACTGATTCTGGTGTTTCTTTTTCCAGTGGAGCTTGCAGTCATCTTCGCTGCAATACTCCCAGTAGACATACGCGTGCCAGGGATGATCAGTCTCTGTTGCGTCTGTCGTTGATAGTTCCTGCTGTCCTCTCACCCATGCACTATCTTCCCTCGGAGGCGTGGAGAACGTGTCTAGTTGCTCCATGGCTCTCCTTTCGATGCGTGGAGTGGGTCTCGCATTTTCCCGTCGGAGCATATCTCTGGCTTTCTCGTCGTACTTCTTCAGGGCTCTCCTGCGGTCCTGGTAGTAAAGTTTGACGCTTTTCATATACTTCAGTTTAGCCATATGCTCGACATCCTTCTCCAGTTCTTCCGCTTCTTGGGCTTCCAACTTAGCTACGTCTTGGGACGTGCCAAGCAGCCTGCGGGTATTCGTTAGTTGGTCGTAGTATCTCCAGAGGTCATCCTTGCAGTCGTCCACCTTGCACTTTAACGGAAGTTCCTGTAACAGGTTCCCGTAGATGCCCTTAAGCGTGGGGATTCTCCTCTGGCCGCTGGGCTTGTCTCGTTCGGCCCTAATCTTCGCGTGGGCGTGTTTTGCCATGCGTCTTACTATGCTCTTGCACCGTGGACTCATTGGTTCCGTAGGTGCGAGTTCATCGAAGGTCTCCTGTTCCGAGACGGTGAACGATTCCGCCTCCGACCCTTCATCTGAGCTCTCGTCTTCTGGGGTGCTTTCGCCGTTTATTCCCCAGTCCTGTTTGCTCACAAACGTTGCGTTCAACTGTCCTGTCCAGGTGGCATTGAGTTGTTTGCCAACTTTGCGTCCGCCGTTCCCTTTCTTTGGCTGTCTGCAGTCTCGGGCCATGTGGCCTGGCTTGTCGCAGTTAAAACAGAGTCGTTCCTTGAATTGTCTGTCTTTCTTAGGGTCACGGGGTCGTCCAGGTTTGAACGTGGCATCGAGTTCCATTGGGTCCGACCAACGGTTGTCTCGCGGGTGTTGATCCCGTCGTCTGCCCTCGTTTCCCCGGTAGGGGTAACTTTTCTTGGGCTTGTCATAGGTCCGACGTTCCTTCTGGAATTCGTATAGTCGATTGTTGATTCGGACCGTATGTTCGATTAGCGCTACCATGTCCGTTGGTTGTTGTTCCAAACGGGCAAGTTCCATACGTATATGGCTCTTCAGCCCACGTCGGTAGTGGCTGATGAGTGCGCTGGCGTCCCATCCTGTCTGATTGCCGTATCTCTGGAATTCTGTGGAGTACGTGAGGGCGCTGCCAGTCTGCTTAAGTGCAAACAGATGGTCTTCTGCGGTCTTAATCTCATCGATGTCTCCGAACATGCGTCGGATTTCCTTACAGAATCCATTCCAGCTGCCAAACATAGTCTGCGTAGTTGTCATGCTTCCATTGGTACTTTCATATTTGAAATAGTCCTTGAGGAATGGTTCGATCCATCGCAGGGCTTCCCCCCTAAGGTAGGACGCAGTCCACAGGGCATAGCTCTCCTGGGTGGGAAACTTCTCGTCATTGAAGTGCTGGTACAGTTCGACCTGTAGCAAAAACACCTCAAGTTCCTTTCGGTTGCCGGAGTAAGTGTCGGGCAACTTGACGCGTAGAGTTTCCTTGAGTTCGTTGACGGTGGGTGCGTCGGGCATCTCCTCATTCTCAGGCTTAGACCTCTGAGACGAAGTTGGCGTGGTGGGGGTTTTCCCCTTCGAACTGACGACAGACATGTTGCTTTGTGTGTAAGCCGGTACCTCGTAGAAGTGGTGCTCAAAGTGTAACGCTGACTTCTAAACGATAGAAGACACAGAGGTTCTCTTGCGTAAAGGTTTACTTATCAGAGGAGGCAGGGGATCAGACACAAAGGCTTCAAGTAACACGTTACTAGTATATAACAAATACTGTATTGAGTTGAGCACGAAGCTCCTATCTAAGGAAATACTATCTACTTATATAGTGGCGTCGTGCCTAGTGGACTCTTGGAAACTCACTCGAGTCCTCGGAGTCCTGGACTCTTAGGACTCTTCTCATCATCCTGCGAGTCCATCACGTGCCTAGTGGACTCCTGGGAACTCACTCGAGTCCTCGGAGTCCTGGACTCTTAGGACTCTTCTCATCATCCTGCAAGTCCGTCACGTGATACTTTCGGAACTACTATTCCCCGCTGCCCCTCCAGGTACCAGGGCCGGTCTCATGCGACCTCCCTCCTTCCTGTCCTGTAGTTGGCCAGCCTTCTTGTTCCGTCGTAACACCTGAGTTCTCAGACTCAACATTTGTTACAACTTGTCTAAACCACTCCACTATATCATACACCTGATTGCTGCGTTGTGGAATAGTCTAAGCTAACAACCCTTTGGCTCTGTTTCCTAAGACAGTGTGTTGTCTTAGTAAAATCATCCCTTCCTTGGGTGGCTAGAGTCTCACATCTGGTGCACCCACCATTACAAGTACGAGCTCTCTATATTTTGACGAGCTTGGTGCGTTACTTGGTACGTTACTTGGTGCTTGGCGGGGCTGGAAAAAAGTAGAAGCAGATGATGTTAATGAGCTTCTAATTGAAGATATCTTCTTGTATTCGGCATGACAGATGGATGCATCTTCTTAAGATGCTTCCAAAGATTGCTCGTCATCTGGTTCTTAAGTGGCTGGCTTGGCATATAGCTGCAATCAGTTTGAAGGCATTGGTATTGGATCCTAGCAGGTATTGTATCTAATAAAGTACGGTAGAATAGCCTTTTGAGAAGAGTTATTGATGTAGAATCAGGTAATTGAACTCTTAGAGGCATATGCGGCAGCGGAATAAGGGGTGGTAGCTCTAAAGCATCAGACTGATACTCAGCCGGCACTGGCGACAGAGAAGAGCCACTCATTTTCACAGTCAGGAAGTAATACAGAACGCGCAAGGGAAGAAAGCTTCATTTATCTATTCTGAGTACTCATAAATATCACCCGAATACCAGAGTACTCGGGGACTCGCCGAATACTACTCAGGGCGAGTACTACTCGGGCAACACTGACAGTCACTGAGGAAATCATTTTTTGAGCTATAAAGGCTCTACATATACAATGAAGTTGTTGATTAAAGTGCGGGCAAAGGATTTGCACCAATATATACTGATCATGAGTCAGTTATGTTACTATTACATCAACCCGCATTTGGGCTATTTATATTGGCTGAAGAGTCTTCTATTTATTTAATAAATTATTCACATTTTTGCTCACTTCTCCTATTAAACGAAACCGCGTGGGCGGTTGCTTGCTTTAAATCTCAAAACACACAAAACTTCGTTTGTTAATAATCATTAATGTCGTTAACCCGTTTTGTGTGTTTTGAGATTTAAAGCAAGCAACCGCCCACGCGGTTTTGTTTAATAGGAGAAGTGAGGAAAAATTGTGAATAATTTATTAATGTCGTTAACCCGTTCGATAATATCGAGACTCTCTCAACAATCTAGTCGTAAAGATCCATATCCTCCCCTGTAATCGCCTCTAATGCGTCGCCATCATCCAAATCCATATCCTCCTCCCCGCTTTCTTGTTCGCTGCTATCACCGTGGTTGGGGAGCACATCCAGGCGTCCGTCTTCAAGGACAACCTTCGCTGTCTCCCCATCCTTAATGCTGCCTCTCAAAATCAAGACTGCCATTCTATTGAGAACCTCCTTCTCAATGAGTCTCGCCAACGGTCTCGCACCATATGCGGGGCTATATCCCGCACTTCCGAGGTAATCCTTGGCAGGACCAGAAACCTCGATGGTGACATTGCGACCATTGGACTCGAGGCGTTTCTGTATCTCTTCAAGGCGTACATCTACAATCTTGCGGATCTCATGTCTTGTCAGCCTGTTGAAGATGACAATAGAGCTGATACGGTTGAGGAACTCTGGCAAGAAGTAGTTGCGCAGAGCTTGCATGACCATCTCCTTTGTTGTTGGGTCAATCTTGCCATTCGGCGCGTTCTGGCGAGCCAGGAACTCTGCACCTAGGTTGGACGTCATGACGACGATGCAGTTGCGAGCGTCGACGACACGGCCTTGGCCATCGGTGATGCGGCCATCATCCATGAGCTGCAAGAGGACCGTGAGGACTTCTTTGGCTGCCTTCTCGACCTCATCGAACAAAAGAATGGAGAAGGGCTTGCGGCGTAGAGCTTCGGTGAGTTGTCCGCCAGCATCGTGGCCGACGTAACCTGGTGGGGCACCAATCATGCGTGACAATGAGTGCCGTTCTTGGTATTCGGACATATCGAAGCGAATCATAGCCTTGGGGTCGTCGAATAGGAAGTCGGCGAGAGCTTTGGTGAGTAAGGTCTTACCCGTACCAGAAGGACCACAGAAAAGGAAGCTGGGAGGTTGGTTCGGGTTACTGAGACCTGATCGTTGGAGGCGAATAGCGTTGGAGACAGAGCCGACAGCCTCCTTTTGGCCAACAACAATCTTGCCGAGTACCTTCTCCATGTGAAGGAGCTTGTCTTTCTCAGTGGTCCTCAATCTCGTGACTGGAATGCCGGTCCATCGGGCAACAATCTCATTGATTTGATCTGGGCCAACGATGTCACTGGTCATGGATCCGCCAGTATCCGCTGAGGTCTCGTTCAACCTCGCATCAGCCAATCTCTTTTCTTCTTCGAGACTCTTGATCAAGTCTTCTTGCTCTGGAATCGCGTTGTACTTGAGATCAGCTGCGCGTCCGACATCTCCAATGCGAGACGCCTCTTCCTGCTTGAACTTCAACTGGTCAAGCTTCATCTTGGCCTCTTGAATGCTCTTGCCTCTCTTCCTCTCATTCTCATACTTGTCGCGGAGTGGTCGGAGCTCTTCTTCGACGTTGCTTGCATCTTGCTTTGCTTGAGCAAGCCGAATTTTAGATGCCTCATCCTTCTCGCGTGATAATGCGTGAATTTCGATCTTCAATTGCCTCAGCTTTCTCTCCAGAGAATCGATGATTTCTGGCTGGGACTCTCTGGCAACTCTGACTGCGGCAGCTGCCTCATCAATAAGGTCAACTGCAGAATCTGGCAGCCTTCTGCCCGTAAGATATCGAGCCGCAAGAGTTGCGGAAGAGACAATAGCAGCGTCGGCAATAGTGACACCGTGATGAACTTCGTAGCGCTCCTTGAGACCTCTGAGAATAGAGATCGTCTCAGGGATACTCGGTTCCTTCACGATAACTTGTTGGAAACGACGTTCGAAGGCGGCGTCCTTTTCGATGTACTTTCGGTATTCGCTCAAAGTCGTGGCTCCAATACAATGAAGCTGTCCGCGAGCAAGCATGGGCTTGAGTAAATTGGCAGCGTCCATACCACCCTCGCCGCTCGCACCGGCTCCCATAAGAAGATGCATCTCGTCGACGAATAGGACGATCATCTCCTTGGAGTCTTCGATTTCCTTGAGGACGCCCTTCATTCTCTCCTCGAACTCTCCACGGTATTTGGCTCCGGCGACCAGTGAGCCGACATCGAGAGATAGAAGCTTGCAAGCGGCAAGGTTGTCTGGCACATCAAGGTTGACGATTCGCTGTGCCAAGCCCTCGACGACAGTTGTCTTTCCAACACCAGGCTCACCGATCAACACCGGGTTGTTCTTCGTTCTCCTTGAAAGAATACGAATGACTCGTCTGATCTCTTCTTCTCGTCCAATAACAGGGTCAATTTTACCCTCTCTTGCCATAGATGTCATATCGATCGTAAACTTCTTCAAGTTCTCGCTCTCCTCCTCTGCATCCGCAGACTTCGAGTCGACTCTCTTCGTGCCTCTGATCTGTTGCACCGCATCTTGCACCAGCTTCGAATTAGGTATGTTCGAATCGCTCAATGCCTTTTGAATGGTTGTGTCTAGTGCCAATGCAGAGATCATATGATCGACGGCGATATAGCTATCCTTCTGAGTTTTCTGCAGCTCGTTTGCCGACCTAAGAATCTTGCTGAAGGCGGGCGACATCGCGATCTGGTCCGGCGGAGGGTCTTGGCTAGGTAGTCTAACCAGGGCCTTCTTGAGGGCTCTGTCGAAGAGCTGAGGATCGCCATGGGCACGTTCGACGACCTGGCGGAAGAATGATGACTGTGAAGGCCCGTGCGAAGCATTGACTGATTGCTGCTGGTCTTTGCTTTCATCTGGTAGCGGGTCGAGGAGCGAGACGGCAAGGTGGATGGGCAATAGCTGTGAGTGTGCATATTGCTCTGCCAGGATCATGGAGTCTTCAAGGGCTTTCTTCGCCCGGTCTGTGAACTGCATGTTTGAGGTAGCCATGATGCCCCTCTATGCGTGTGATTTCGGTTTGAAAATATGCAGGTTCGTTGTTTGTGCTGTCGTGAATTTCTAAGTGACGTCGACCTCAAGATGACTTGTCGAGGCCGGTTTATATTTGCCTTGGGTAGCTTGCTTGGCCAGACACAAGGCTGGATGTTGTTTGGGTTGAAAGTGATGATGTTAATTTGGTATGTGGTTTGCAGAATGTGTAGCAACGTGGTAGCAACGTGGTTCTCTTATAGCATGAAATCCTTGAGACCCTGTATTTATAATGACATCACAAGATGAAGCTTCCAAGGTTACTTGCTACGTTGGTGCTGGAACTCTCCAGTGATGACCAGCAACCCCGCCAACCTTCCAGATGGTTCCATCCGGATGAGGTTTAGTTCTAACACTAGTACAAGGCTACGAGAGTTGCCTTCTCAGCCTGGTCTATTTAGTGAAGTCACGTGCTACGGATGTAATTTTTTAGCGTGGATCTCGTAGACTTCGATATGTGGAGGAGACAATTTAGCAGGACAATTGCGCCCCAACCGGAATCATGAGCACAAGCACGGCGTCACAGATAGCTCGAAGAGGGGCAAGGTTTGCCGATAAAGTACGCAATGCCTCTGTTTCTGTCAAGCCGGAGGTGGAACATGGCAGGCAAATATTCGTCTACAGCCATCTCCAGACGAAGCAGGTGGTCTACTCCCTGAAGCAGAACGTAAAGGTATTACTCGCTCTCTCCCCTGATCATACCAGTCATACTTTGCTGCGCGGTGTTTACCATTGAACGAGGCGCTAACAGAAAACAGAACAACAAAGCTCTGCGTCAACTCCCATACAACGGCAAGAAAACCGTCCCAGCCGCCCTACGAAAAGATCTCTGGTCCCCTCTCGCGCGCATTGAGTTCCCAGCAGGCCACTCCGCCGCAGGCCTCAATGCATTCCGCATGCTCCGCGAATACCGAACACTACACGAGACACAATGGCCCAAAGAGCTCGCCCTGGACGACAAGGGAAGGACGCTGAGCAGGAAGCTGAGAGGCCGCAAGCTTTGCGACCAACGCGCAAACAGCATTGCTGATATTTCGGCGACGTTGGGAAAGGTGTCTAAGGTTGAGAAGGAGGTGGGGGATAAGGCTGAGAAGGGGGTGGAGCAGATTTCGACGACGGTGAGGTGGTCGGATATTTTGGATGCGGAGTATGCGGCGAGTTGGCCTGAGTCGGTGGTGCATGATAACTGGGAGACGACAAGGAATAACAGGAGGGCAATTGAGGAGTTCCCGGAAGAATACTAGGTAGAGCAGGATACTGGGGACAGAGCCACTGTACGAGATGATATAGGTTAGGAGGAGGTGTATATGTATTGTAGATACTATTGGGGCGCATATTGACCAGAAGTTAGATTTAAACTCAAAAAGGAGCGCATTGCTTAATGAGCACCGACTGTTAAGTTTCGGGGTTGGTTGGCGATGCAAGTATTATGCGTTTAATTATTGCCCCCTATTATTTTCCAGGAGTAATGTGGATGGAACAGCAGAGAGAACTGTTTTTATAAAGATCGAAATAATAGTCTCCCGTTCCTAATTCTTGACTAGAACTATAGAGATAACTACATCGACTGGGAATAAATCCAGTCTGATAACACTAACCAATATCCATCTCGAGGCATTCTCAGCATCTCGATATTGTTAAATAACAACCGCACCCCATTCTATAGTTTGTCCAACCCAATTCAAAAATGCGCCAAATGCACACCTTCAGTACACATACTCGGACATCCCTTTTGTACAATTCCATGCCATAACATCAATCCTTTGGACACCCGTCATAATTAAAACCCGTCACCCTCTTTCCATGGCCGTCCAGCCTCCTTGGCCCTATTTTCCGGATTGGCGCCCCTTTCAATAGCCTTTTCTTTCTCGCTCTGAACCCATGCACCGAGATCGTTGATTTTTTGCTGCAATTCGGCGGCTTCGCCGGTCTTTGGCACGTCTAAAGCGAGTTTTTCGTCAAACTCTCCCTTCTCCTCCATTTCCTTAATCTTCTTTGCATTTGCCTCAACCACCTTGAGCCTGTCCTGGTGGTGTGACTTTTCGTGCACTTTGTCGTAAAAACTATTGTACTCCTGTTCGCCTCCAAAGCAAACCCCGAAACCGTCACAGTAACACACATTCTCCTTGGGGCACATGATATTCTGGCCGGTGAACAGGTAGTGCCAGACATACTCCCAGACTCTGCCCGAGATATGGTTGTGAAGGGGTGTCCGCAACAACCAATCTCGGTAGAACACGTAACGGGCCTTGGGTAAGGCGCGAATACGCTCCCTTGATAGGGCGAACTGTGCACAACAAGGCTGAGCCAGAACAGTCGGAATGGAATCCATGGGAAACAATTCACTCCACGACTGCGCTAGCACCTGCTCCTCTTGCTTGTTGACATCTAACTCTGGCGTGCCAGGATGCATCCAGGCTGGGCAGCCTGGGTACCAGTGGCAGCGCAAATTCACATACCCCTCTCTCTGAACTCTTTCTGCAGAGAGACGGCTCACCATCTGTGCAGAGTCGGAGTCGAGTAGCTCGTCATTATGCCATGCGTATTGATGTGCATGTATGAAGATGTTGACATCAGCGAGGCTGTCGTAATTGTCGATTATGTAGGTAAGGTATATCATGACTTCGTTGCCTTTATTCTTTGGCGGATGGAGGGGCGCCGTTGGGTCGTTGGCGATGTACATGGATGTGTTCAGAGAGCCTCCAGGAGGGAAATTCTCGTCGATCCAGGTGGTATCTTCAGCCTTTGTCTTTGGGACAATCAGCATCTTGGTATATGTCGAGCCCGGTGGTTTTGCTGTCCCCGCGGGAAATGTTTCTGGCGTCCTGCCCATCTCAACTTCTGGCTGTCCCTCGTCCGCAACAGACTGCATTCCGTCCGCATCGTTATCGTGGTTTTGTTTTCCCCCTGGTGTAATGATGGTGATATCATCATCTATCTTTGCTTCCCCTAGCCCAATCTTCTCCAGTGGTAAACTCTGCCATGAGCTAGATGAGATCCTTATCATTAAAACAATGAAAACTAAGCCTATGCAGACCACAACAGGCAGCATGCGCCGCGGGACTGATACAATCATAGTTGCTAAGCATATAATGAGACGAAAGAAGGAGCGAGGGTTGTCGACGGGTAAGAAACCACCTGGGTGAAACCCGCCAGCTGAGGAGAGTGGAGTGTTGCGCAACTTGGAAGTTTGGATCGCCCTTACTTTAGCAGAGCCTGGGTCCACCCCATGTGAGGATACGCGTAATGCGCCGTTGTTTATATTTCCGACGTCTCGAGGGCAGGGCGAAATCAAAGTAAGGTCGTATTTGGAAAGCCAAGAGAAGCTGCTATTCACGGCGGCGATAAAAGTGGCATTGCGGATTATCCCAACAGAGTTCCCAGCCTCTTGATGGCTATGGAGAAGACTGACGTCGTCGTTCGATGGCAAGACACACGATAAGAAATATATTAAGGTTGTCCAATAAGTGGTATCGGTGCTACGACGGACCGCCACTAGTACTTGTTCGGCTGTACTCTGATCCGATACACAAGTACAGTACCCCTGTTGTATCCGTATTTGCACTGTTTGCTCAACTTCACTAGGGCTTTAGGTAAGCCTGGTTGGTGCCTTGCCACTTATCTCCCTGCGGTGGAACGATCAATGGACGTTTGGCTGTTTAAGCTTGCTTTACGATAACGCCAGCACCTTTTTGTTGAATTCCAGGGCTAGGCCACTTTGCCAGCTTCAACTGCAGCTCATCATGGCCAAAGGCCAGCCATCTCAAAGTGGGCCAATCGGCGAGGTCACTGGTAAGAGAGAGCTCCCGTGTCTTGGTATAAGCCGCAACTCCGGTATTGATATGATAAACAGAAGTGCCGAAGCTCGATCTCGAAAGCTATATCCAAAACTACACAGGTACGTAGGCCCTTCAGCTCTGCGCCTCATTATAAGGCATTTCACGGCTCCTACACGATCACCCAGTTGTTTCCCGACCGGTCTGACATTGGGCACATAGGCACAACGAAATTTGAGCGTCTGTTATTTATCGGATTACACTCGACGGTATTACGCGCCGAGGCACTCAAAGCGGCCGTGGCAGAGGCAAAGAAAGGTCGGAATGTAGCACATTACAACGTGGCCCAAGAGGCGTACAGTCACGTCGCCCCAGACGAACCCGAAGCACAACATGACGCCCAATGGGTCGCCAGCATGGAAAAGCAGAATAAAGTCGATGGGGCACGTCTGGAAGCAGAATTGAAGGGCTACAAGAATAACCTCATCAAAGAGAGCATACGGGTAGGTGGGATCGGACGATAACCAACACCGAGTACTGACATAAAGCGTAGATTGGGAATGAGGACTGCGGCAAATTTTACCAGAGCACTGGGAACCTACAAAAGGCATATGAAGCATACCAAAGGATGAGACAGGATGCGATCATCAACAAGCACATCATCGAGCTCAACAAGCACTTGACGACGATCACAATCGAACAAAAGAACTGGCTGGGCGCCATCAACCACGCTCAAAAGCTCTTATCCGTGACAGAGCAAACACAAACGGAAGAAGCAAATGCTGTTCAGCCATTTATCAAGATTGCTCAAGGGTTGGCGTTTATGGCCCAGAAAAAATACAGTGAAGCAGCGACTTCATTCCTTGGAGTTGGTACGGGCATGGATGCACCTGCGATTATGAGTGGGAACGATGTGGCGATATATGGAGGGCTTTGCGCACTTGCTTCGATAGACCGAGATCAGCTGCAGAAGAGAGTGCTCAACAGCAGTACTTTCAGGAGTTATCTGGAACTTGAGCCAGAAGTCCGCCGAGCTATTACTTCGTTCGTCAACGGCAGATATTCTGTGTGCTTGTCAATTGTCGAAGGCTACCGAAACGACTACCTCCTTGATATCCACCTATCCAGCCATGTCGCGGATATATTCCGTCTTATTCGAAGCAAGAGCATTGCCCAGTACTTCATACCTTTCTCATGCGTCACATTGGAAAGTTTGAATGCATCGTTTGCCCAGTCGGGGGAATCGATTGAAGAAGAGCTATTAGGAATGATCAAGAACGGGACCTTGAATGCGCGGATTGACACAAACAAGGGGGTGAGTTCTCTTTCTCTACAATCGATCTACCATGTACTAACTAGTCTGCAGACGCTCAATGCAGTCATCCCTTCACCCCGAGCCCAACTGCAGCAAAAGACCCTGGATTCAGTAAAGGAATATGAACGCGAACTTCGACAACGCATACTGCGCATGAACATCGTTAATGCCGGCCTGGAACTGGAGTCAAAGAATGGCGTCAGCCTGGGCGGCGACCAATCAACCGACCTTGACCATATCGACTTTGAGGCTATTGGCTCACCCCATTACGGGAGCTCATTTAAGGATCTGGAGGGGGACGAGACTCTGGGGTAGAGTGGGGCCGTCTTGAGGCTCGGTGTATGGATAAAATTGAAGGGGGAATTTGGTGAAATAGCGACTAGTAGCAGTGATATTTGGTTGAGCGCTGAAGCGTTGCTGTCATTGCATGATACCGGGCATTTGGGGCGTTCAGATGGGGGCGAATTATCGTATTGCTTTGAAATACAGAAGTCTGCGACGGCCTAGATGGTCAGCCAACTGAGAGATCTTTTATAATGAATCTCATGACACAGGTTTCCCCCCCACGCTATACAAAACAAAAATGCCAGATGACTAGCACATGCGACCTCTTATATGGTCTTCCATCCACAATGTGAGAGTGACCACCCAGCGATGACGTGATTGTTGTGTGTTTTAGCTATTCTATTTTTGCCTTTCACTGCATTTCTGGCAGCGCTGTATTCGCATTGTGCCACGTGCCCTGATACCAAGATAAGATTAGATTGTGTAGATTGATTGTATGCGGCTTTTTCACTCGATTAACATGGCAAGCCGAGTTTAGTTTCCAACAAAAAAACATGTGGCCACGGCAACTCACACTGACAACTAGCTCAGCTAGGGGGACTGGGTACTAGGTATACATACATGTTCTAGATGTTATGAGGGGTGTCAGCTGTACAAACATTTCATCCCATTCTGATATCCGCCGAACTCTACTACTGCACCCTGCTAAAAGCATACACCCGAAACTGCCATGGTGACCTTGGCGCATGGGCGGGTCGATGCAGTGGAAACAGTACAAGATCCGCCTCTACTGGCGTGGAGGACCCCGTCCGTTCCATTGGCCGCAACAATCATGCTCGAACTTGCAACCCATTTTATACCTTCTCTGACGTAAAACCTCGAGCGGTTCGCAAATATGGAGCCCGACTTCAAGGAACGAAAGTACAGACTATGACGCTACGCACTCCCCACTCCATGCAATTTTATCCATCCATTTCCCGCTTCGCCTTGCACCGCTCCTATCTTTGTACCCGCAAAGCCGGCGGGCCCGTTCTCAGTGGCTCGCTGGGGGTGGGGGTGAGGTGAGATATGTCTCGGGGGGCGGACGATGGGAGGGAGTGAATGGGCAAGCAGTTTTGGTTCGTGTTTATATTAATACTCTGGGAAAGTCTCGTCGGCTCCTGCTTCCCCTATAAGTATATATATACACCCGGCATTTCCAACTGCTTGTGGTAGGAACTCGCGACTTGAGAAACCCCCCCCGAAGTATCAGTATCAGTCGAACCACGGAAGGCATCATACCATCTGTCTGGAAGAAAGAAAGTAACGATTATCACGACCTAGATCTTGTATTCTCTTGTACAAATTATATTATACACGTCTCTATCCCCATAGCGGCTGTACGACGTTGTACAACAACAACAACTGTATCATCATGTCTAACAAACCCATCTTCGTGGCAACTCACCCGCGCGCATGCTCAACGGCCTTCGAACGGGCATGTTCCAAACTTAAACGATCCCCCAATCGCCATGGCTAACCTCACATAGGTGTTCATGACCAGGAAAGATCTCCAATGCATCCATGAACCCTTTGGGGACGCCTTTTACTTTGGGCCCGAGAGGCTCTCTAGCCGCTATGAGGCGGATGTGAAGGCCAGGGACGACTCCGGATTCTCTGACTCCACCTTTGCATCTGTTTTTGAGCAAATCGAGAAGAAAACCGAAGAGGTAAGGACGATTTTATATACTACCCCTTTGCGCTTTCTTTGTTGAGCGACTCCATCTGATTATCAGGTATCAGGTGATTTGCTGTCATATGGCGCGAGAATGCTCTTCGTTTCGTATTTCAATTGTTCTCGGACGATTTTATATGTGGCCCTTTGGTGCCTTCTTTCCCTTTGAGCGATTTAATCTGTTATTTACTTTTGCTTGCAACGAGAATGCTCGTCATCTCGGATTCATGTGGAGGAGATTAATCGGGCTCTGCCGCCTTGTGACTTGCGGTCACAAGGCGGCAGAGGCCGATTTGCGTGATGTGTTTTAGGCCCTTTGATAAACGGCACAATTCACGTTATTTCCCAAATCATCGAACAGCTAATTTCCCGAGATGAGCATGTCTTTATTTGTTCAGTTGTCTGCAGACTCCGCGTCAGTATTAGGCGTCAAATTAACACAAGTCTCTAGGGAAAACGCGTTTTCATCAAGGATATCACCCACTACCTTGCTCCGCCGCATCGCAACCCCGCATCTATTGCCCCTTCGTTAGGCGGCGCGCCCAAGCGTGGTGTTGGCACAAATGGTGCTGCTACTAACGGCGTTACCAATGGCGTTGCCACCACCAACGGCAATGGTACTAACGGCCATACCACCAGTGGCCATGTAACCAACGGCAATGTTACCAACGGCAATACCACCTCGTCTGCCCCATACCCCTACAACACCGAGGCTGAGCCTGGAAACCCAACCATGGTCCCCGAGGAGATCTTGAAGAAGTTTCACTTCACGTTCCTGATCCGCCACCCCCGCAGCAGCATCCCATCCTACTACCGCTGCACCATCCCGCCTCTCAACAAGGTGACCGGATTCTACAACTTCGATCCCAGCGAAGCCGGCTACGATGAGCTCCGCCGCGTGTTTGACTTCCTCAAGTCAAAGGGACATGTTGGCCCGGCAATTGCTGGTGAGCATGATGGGGAGCTGCAGAATGGAGAGGTGAGCATTACGATGATTGATGCGGATGATTTGTTGGACAACCCGAACGGCATCATTGAGGCGTACTGCAAGGAGGTTGGGATAGACTATGATCCAGGGATGCTGAACTGGGATACTGAGGAGGATCACGCCCAGGCTAAGAGGGCGTTTGAGAAGTGGAGAGGCTTCCACAATGATGCGATTGAGAGTTCGAGCTTGAAGCCCAGGAAGTCGAAACACGTGAGTTATGCCCACGAGATGCTGTAATGAGACCTACTATGGATATTTGACGCTGACCTATATTCCGACAAGGCAAAGAAAACGAAGACCGTCGAGGAAGAAAATGAATGCTGGAAGGAGACGTATGGTGCGGAAGGGGCTAAGATAATTCGGGACTGCGTCGATGCGAATATTCCCGACTACGAGTATTTGAAGTCGTTTGCGCTCAAGGTGCCATTCAAGTCTCCTGGCGAGGCTTAGAGATTTGAACGCTTTCGGCCTGAACACCTCGGCTTGGACGAAAGGTCTCTCTCTGATAGGCAGATAGCTTTCTATTAGTAAACGCTTCTGTATGTGATGACTGAAGTGATCTGCTTTTTACTTTTTGTGGGAAGCAGAATTTTGTTTCTTGAATGTAACTTAAGTTAAGTGTTTTTATTTTTGTTTCGTGGATAGCCTGCTTATATCACATTGCTAGGGAAGATTCAATACTATCGGAAGCTGCGATTGCTGCTTTGCTTGGTAATCGTTCTTTCCATATCTACAACCTGAATATTACGAGGAAGCTGCGATTGAGGCATGCTTGATAATCATTCCTTCCATATTGAGGAAACTAGACTGAGGCTTGCTTGGTAATCGTTCTTTCCATATCTATAACCTGAAGAGTTATGGGGGAGCTGCGATGAGGCTTTGCTTGGTAATCGTTCCTTCTATATCTATAACCTGAGGGTTTATGAGGAAGCTGCGATTGGGGATTGCTTGGTAATCGTTCCTTCCATATATAGGGGTCATCGGCATGACGCTCATAGGATATCGGTCGATTATACTCTATTTCACAACTCATACGCATGCGTTTCAATGATAGCCACAATGCATAAATCGTGTCTCAATACTCCAATGTTTCATATTCTAATCTCTCGTAATCTGTCTACGCTGACCATAGAAAATGAACTGAAATCATGTCTCAATACTCCTGCGCCTCATATCCTCATATCCCGTAACCTACCCGTCAAGACCACAGAAAATGAACTGAACCCATGCCTCAATACTCCAGCGCCTCATATTCGCATCCCTCATAACCATCCGGGCCTCCCGCAGAAAATAAACCGAAATCAACCACTACTCCTCCCTCTCAGCAATCTCCAGGAGGTCCCGCTTGAGACCCCTAACACTAGCCATGAACGAAGTCAAGAACGCCAGATACTTTCCCTTGGACTCCTCAGCCTTCTTGTCCTCACCACCAACACCAGCAAACGACGAAGCGGTGACGGATTCCATAGCAGCCTGGGCGAGAGTCTTAGTGACGAGCTCAAATTGCAAGAGATCTGAAATTGCTCTCGAGCTGTTATAGGGAGCAGCGTGTTGATCCAGGCGGGCGCGGATGGAACGCTCGACTTGGGGGTTGGGATCATCGGCGGCGCGGAGCATGGCGGAGGCGGTGCGCTTCTTGGGTGAGGTAGGGAGCTGGGTTCTGGTGGTTGTGGTGTTTGGGTTGGTAGGCTCAACCTGCTGGACCTGCTGGACCTGGTGCTGAACTGGACGTTAGTGCGTACTCATAGTGATTTATAAGAAGGGTATTGTATAGTTACGTACCTGTATGTCTTCCATGGTGGTCACGGCGTTGCTGACTTCAGCTGGAGAAATGACGGTGTCGTGTTGAGGCCTCATAAGCTTCTGGGTGCCCATGTTGGAATCGGCGTTCTGAATTCCTGATCCGGGGTGAATAACGAGTCCGAGTTCCTTCTTCATATCGCCAGGTTTCTGGATGCGCTGCTTGGGTGGTTCGAAAGTCATGATCTTCTTCGGAGCAGTAGAGGTCATCAAGTTCATGAAAGGCTTCCTGACCTGAGTAGGTTTGTTGTCGATCGTTGGTGGGTTGGAAGTTTCACTCTGTTCAAGACGCTTCTTCTTTTTGTTGTTGAAAGGGTGCACCAATTCTCTGCTTGGAACAACCATTCGGCCGACCTGGGGGTACATGCAATTAGTACATTTATCGAATAAAGAAAAAAAGAGATTGAACGGGAAATTACTCACCGTCTCAGTAGTAGCGAATCGACTTTTGGTAGGCTTCTCAGTTGCCTTTCCAAAGCCATTGTCGGTGGCTTTGGCAGGTGGGGCATTGCCGTTCACCAGGTCGAGGATAGCGGGGGGAATTCCCGTGTCTTCGGAACCAGAATCTTCGGAGTCGGAATCATGGCCAACAAAATTGATCTTTGACTCCTTGAGAGGATTTGCTCTCGAACCAGGGGCCTGTGATTCTTTGGTGGACATGACAGCAACAGGCACTGTCGGCGCCTTGGTAGGGCTCTGGGAACCTTCGGTGGTCATGACGGCAACAAGGGCTGCCGCAGCCATCGTTGGCGCCGGGGTCTGTCCATGCTTCTCTTGGCCGAGCGAAGCTCTAGCTTTCTTGTTAGGTTTCTGTCTCGGAGCTGTATCGACAACGATAGAGTTGCCCTCGTCATCGTCTTCGGCGGCAGATTCCACGGAAGCTTTTCCAATGGAGGCTAACAATTCTTGGCCTGCAGCTTGAGCCTTATCCTTTTTGGCTTGTTTAGCCTTCAGCGGGGATGATGGTGGAGTAGGGGAATCGAATTTGGCAGGAGTGTTTGGAGTCGCAGCACTCGGGGTGGCTCCTTTCTTCTTGGCAGACTGATTGTCAACTCCAGAAAGCATGCTCTTCGCCTCCTTGAGTTGTTCCACAAACGCCTTGCTCTGACTGAAGCTGAACGGTTTGTAGGATCCATCAGAGTTCCTGCAGACCCTAAGCATCCCAGCCTGAGCCTTACTAAGATCGGGGCAGAGGTTGGAGATGGCGCGGAGGTTAGTGATGGTAGTGCTACCAAGCTGATCCGTGGGTCTGATATTCCTCGGGAAAATGTCGATAAGCTCAGAGACTCCCCAGGCTTCCTTCACGCGGTTGATGGTGTTGATCCTCGATCTAGCACCTTGCTCATTGAGCTCACCCTTCTGTAAATTTATATTAGTTATTATTCCCAAAACAGACATGAGAGTGTCTTACGATTCTCTGCCCTCCAACATTCTTGGGAGTATTGTTGGCACTCATCTTCACTGCACCGACCACGGTATCTGCTATGAAGGAGAAAGTTAAAGAGAAAAGTTTTATACTGCACCGCTATCGTATCTGCTATGAAGGAGAAAAGTTTGGAGATACTGCACCGCTATCGTATCTGCTATGAAGGAGAAAAGTTTGGAGATACCTGCACAGCTATTGTATCTCCTATAAAGGAGAAAGTTAAAGAGCAAGTGTGAAGAAAGTTGGTAGCCTTGTAGCAAAGTGCTAGCGGAGCTGAAGGTTGGAAGGTTTGTTGATGGGGCCTAAGAGGACGCGTACAAAGGAGGGCGCGCTACTTCCTCTAAGCCAGCAGTCGTTGTAAACAACCTCTTTAAGTGAATTTAAGGTGAACCTAAAAATTGAAAGAGAATGTGAACATAGCAGCAGAGAGGGAGAAACTTCCAACCTCTAGATAAGGGTAAACAACGTCTTATATTGTACAACACCCAGTAATAAATATATAATACACACCTAGTATATGAAAACACCGGTAACCAGCTTCCCATTCTACATCACCTAATCTTGCCAGTACGCTTCTTAGCAATCTCAAGCTTCCCCCCAACCCGTGTGACATCGTCATCCACCCTAGTCAGCATCTCATTCTGGAGCTCCAGCTCATCACTGATCGCAATGCCCATCTCCTTCTGGCTCCTCACAATCTTAGCCAGCTCAACCAGATCCAGATCCTGTTCCTGCATCATCTGCTTCTGTAGCTGCACCACCCCCTCATTATCCAGCTCCCTCGTCCTCTCCGTCTCCTGTGCCGGTGCACCCAACACCCTCCCCTTCGGCCTCGAAGCCCCTCCCCCAAACAACTCCGTCCTATCCGCCGAGCTTGCCGCCACTGAACTCCCACCCCCTGCCGCCGACGACCCACCCGTATTCCCCTTCAACGCCAAACTCGCCGCCAACTTCTCCAAACCCTCCTTCTCCACCTTCGCACTATTCACCAAATCCCTCCTCCTCCTCAACTCGCCCTCACCCAGCCCCCTCGCCCCCGCAAGCGCCTTCAACCCCTCCTCCAGCGTCTGCACCAGCAACCCCGCCTTGACAAGACACTTCTTCGCACCCGCACTCGCCTCATGCTGCGCCTGGCTCGTCGTCGCCCCATCCCTCTTCCCCAACCACAACCTCGCCTCATGCAACCTCGCCTTCATCTCTCTCAACACATCCAACCAAGCCGCTGGATCCAAATTCGCCCCTCCCCCATTCAGGTCCGAGATACCCGTAATGTCCGCATGTGCCTTCGCAGAGCGACTGCTGGACTGGCTTGCCGCCGAGGACGGTAGGTTCAGGAACGTGCGCCAGACGCTGGTACCGCGCCACTGGGGGTCGGGCGTCTCGGCGATGGCGCGGAGGTATGTTGCTAGCCCCGCGCGGCGCTCTTCGATGAGGGTGGGGTTGGTGGAGGTGCGCATGAAGGGTAAGGGCCAGGATTTGGAGGGGAGCGGGATGGGTGGCGGGGTTGGGAGTTGGGCTTTGAGAGCTGTGTCGAGGGCGACGAATTCGGAGTAGCGCTTTTGAACGATGAAGGTGCGGAGGGGGAGGCGGAGAGTGATGTTGTAGAGGGCGTAGGGGGGGGAGGAGGTGGGGGTCGAGATGGTGGTTGTTGGGATGGAGATTTCGAGAGGAGGCGCCATGGTGTTGGGGTGGGATGGCGGTTTGGGTGGTGGGTTGGGGCGCGGAGGGAGATTGTTTGGGCTTCGTTGCTCTCTGTGGTGTCTTGTATTGTTATTCGTGGTACTCCGTGGGGTATATATGCAGTAATGGAGAAGGAAATGCTGAAGATTGAAGTGTCGGTGGTGTATGAATAGTTGGAGTTCATGAGTAGATGCCTGGTGACGTTGTGATTGTCTTAGTGCCTAGTATCGGTCCACACGGTCATCGGGGCCGCATGGCAACTACAGTGGTAATAGCACGTGCAAGCAAAAGTGCAACTTGAAGTTTTAAGGTACCAAACACTTATTTAATCAAGTATGCGTCTGCGCAATCTATGATAGTAGTTGCCGTTCCTTTTCTTATGCGCGCGAAGGCATTCATGTCTGAATCGCCCATGCCGCCTCCTCTTGATTCATGTGCTTCGTACTTCGTAACCTCAACAGTTGGATTCACCCCCCATCGTAGATATTTCCATCTCATGACCTCAAACATATATGTGGTATCACTCCCCCTCCCTTCAAGACAACACCTCTTTAAAAAGTCTCTTGATCATCCAACCCCTCCCCCTCCGCCGGGATCTCAAAGCCGTCCTCCGTGCTGTACAGAATAGTCTGGATATGCTTGATAAGGCCATCCTCCTGCTTCTCGATCTCCGGATCCTCCTCAACCGCCTGCTGGATCAACAACTCGATATCCCTCAGCTTCGAGAAGTAGAAATCCCTCTCCCTCTCCAACCCCTGCACCGTCTCCTTCAGGGTATTGTTCTCAGCCTGGAGCGCCGCCGAGCCGGGGCCACCGCCAACCTTGCCAGCACCGATGCGAGCGCCTCCAGTCGTGGGCGTGGTGCCGCCGCGACGGGCAGCTGCGGAGCCGGCGGAGGTGCGCGAGGCGGGTGCGGCAGCGGGGGGTGCACCGGAGCCGCGACGGCGCGAGACGGCGTCGTAGTCGCCGCCAGGGAAGTACTGGTCCCAGTAGCGCTTGGACCATTGCAGGAACTCGAGGTTGTCTTGCATTTTGCATTTGATCAGGGACTCGACGGGGATGATGCGGTCGACTTGGTGTTTGGTGAAGCAGTCTGCCAGAGGGGAGGGGATGTTAGTTGCTGTCATGGCTTGGGAGAGGGGGGGAGGGGTAGTGATGACGAACTTTGCAAGATCTTGAAGTTTTGCAGGTAGGCATATTCGGTGTTGACGTTGAACTTGACGCGGGCCATTGGGATATCAAGATAGATGCTGTCGAAGATCTGGCACAGAGCCGCTCTGTATGGGGGAGGGGTTGTTAGTTTACCCTCATCCAGCTCATCAACTCCGATTCGTCGCCGACAGGAAGGAAGCCTTACCCAGTACCGCACTGTTCAACCTTGGTGACATTCAGCTGCAGCAGGCTGTTGAGCCATGCCACAAGTTCTTGCCTACAACCCAACTCAGTCAGCGTCGATGCTCGCGTTTTCCGTCGCCGAACGTGGGGTAACCTACCTAGATTCTCCCATCGTAGCAACAGCGACGCGAAGTGTATCGAGTGTGTGATAATATGTCGTGAAGACGTGAGATATGATAAACAAAGAAGTGGGTAAAAGGGATCCCAAGGTAAACGACCGCGATGGACCTTTTTGTCGCGCGTTTTTTTGGTTTACGAAGATTTATGGAATTAATGTGTTGCTCAGTGCCTGGTTGTGTTTGTTGAGGGTCCCGCCAATCAACGTCCGGCCGTCCACTGGTCAACCAGGTTGGCGACGCTCGAGGATCCGCTATTAGGGGTTGCACGATGCATCATGTTTACCAAGTAAACAAGACAAAAAATCCCATTGGCAATAGTACGGCAGTTGATTTGCAGATACAGATTCTAGGGAATGAGCAAATATTTATGGGAATCCTAAATTCTATAATAAATATTAAGCTTTGTGGCACCAACGTCATCTTCAGGGCCCTGTATGGAAATACAGATGGAACGCGGCGGCACAGTCCGCGGCACATAAACCGATCGATCGATCATCTCTTGTCCAACAATGCATCCAGCTGCCGATTAATACTAGCCCACGTGCTAATATTGAAGGGGCTCATATAGGTTTACCCTTATTATATGCATCTGCTGGCATAATAGCAACGAAACTGAGTTGTAATCGTTCTTCTCAATTAGAGTAGCTTCTCCCCTATCTCCCCTTCAGAAACTCCAGACCGTAGTCCAGAAAATAATATACAGCACAAGCAAGGCGCCACCCCAGCACTATCCAGCAAAAGCCCATCCATGCCCAGCGATAAACGCCCTTAGAATACAACCCCCCCCACCCAACAAAATAAACGCCCCGTGTCCATGATCCCCTTAATACGCCCTCCTCCGCTTCTTCGCCTTCCCCTTCCTCGGCTTCGTCTTCTCAACCTTCTTCCCCCCCGCGCAAGCCATCTCCTCACCAACCCCCTCCTCCAAATCCCTCATCTCCTCATCATCAATCTCGCTCAACTCCTCATCGCTCGTCGCGTGCGCCACATCCTCCTCCACCACCTCCACCACCTCCTCCACCTCCTCCATAGGCGGCGGTGGCGGCGGCTCCTCAAACGTCCGTGTCTTCGGATCGTAGTTCTCCAAATACCACGGCTTCCCGCCGCCGGTGAGGAATGAGCCGGAGGTGGGCGCGGGGTCTTGGCTTATTATGCTGCCTGCGCCGGGGTTGGAGACGGGGGGTGTGGGAGGTTGGGAGAGGTGGTTTGAGGTGACCGGGTACTCGGCGGCAGCTGGGGGTGTAGCGGTCGATTCTGCGACGGCGGGTTCCTCGGTAGTAGGTTTGGTGGTGGTTCCCGGAGTGTCGCCTCCTGCGGGCGTGATGGATGCGTAGGCGTCGCCGTCGTCTGGCTCGCCCGGGGCGTCTTCATCGTCGAGCATGTCTACATCGGCGGCTTCGGCTAGTGCGTTACTATCAGCTGCTTCGGCTTCGACTGAGATCTGCTGGTTCACATCGACATTGTCATCCGCTGTATCAGCCCCTTCAATGGACTGCACTGCAACAGTTGGATCAGCTGTGCCGTGTTTCGTGGGACCTAGCAGCGCCTCTGGAGAGATATCAATGCATCCCTCCAGAACGAGTTCAAGGTCCGCGACCATCTTGTCTGGCGACTTCTGGAGCAGGTCTGCCTCTGCGCGGACGGCGATTTCGAGATGTGGCTGAATGGCCTTGATGATTCGCTTGGCGAGCTTCTTCCTATCTTTGACTTCGTGGATTGCTACCTTCAACTGGGAATTGTATTCCGCGCTGCCAACGGTCGCCTCGCTGGGAAGGGTTGTCGCAACAGCTTCGATGCCTTTCTTGCAGATGACTGCAATGTCTTCCGCCAGCGTCGTGGCTTGGACGTAGTATCGACGATGGAGCCTATTCTGTACTTGCCATAGGCCCGCCGTGAATGTTCTCTTGATATCGAGGCTGCAACTATGTTAGTATTATACAGGCAATAGGATGTCAAGGTTCAACTTACGCAAGCGCCTTGTCGACAATCGGCGGCAGCAGCTTCGTAACGGGAAAGTACGTGGTATCCAGCGTCTCCCTCTGCTTAATAGCATACTGCAGCTTCTCCGTCTCCCTCATCACCACATGCGTGCTCAACTCCTTCAACCTCTCCACATCCTTCACCAGCATCTTAGCAAACTCGATACGCCTCTCTAGCCTTGCGCGGCCCACATCGCCCATACTCGCAAAATTGCGCCTCGTAAGCTCCATCGACGAAAACGTCTCCATCTGCAACTGCAACCGCTTCAGCAGCGCCGCTCCGCGCCTAGCCTCGCGCTTCAGCGTCCAGTATCGACAGGCTGCCGCGACCCACTCGCGACGCCTCAAGATTGTGAAGCGCTGGAGCGAGGCGTCGACGATGTCGTAGACGGCGGAGGGAATGACGGGTGCACCTGAGGGAAGTTTCCACACCGACTTTGGGTTCTGGAGCTCCCCCTTCTTCTTAGTGCTGCTGAGGGTGATGGCCAGGTGCGCACCGGTCTTCTGCGACTCATCGGCGGGGTGCTCGGTGGTGGCGTTTTGGTGGGTTGCTGCGAGGGCGAGAGCGGAGGCTTGGCTATCGGCCCAGAGGCGGTCGCGCATGGTGCGCTTGTAGAAGCTGCGTGCTTCGCGCGTGGCCTTGGCGACGTCGTTCTCCTTGGCGTAGTCTTGGGGGCAGTGCTTGTCGCAGAAGGCTTTGAGCTGGGTGGTGCCGTCGAGCTCGGCGAGGGTGCCGTGGTTGTTCTTCATTTTGAGGAAGAGGTGGGCTCGTCGGGCGCAGGTGACGTGGAAGGCTTGGTAACAAAGCTTGTTGCCGCATTGGATGCAGGCGCCCATTCGTTGTTGGCAGATATAGCATGTGAGTTTCCAACGCGTTTTAGGGACCTTTTCCACATCCATTACAGGCTCCATGAAGGTATGATTGCCGAGTGAAACTTCTGGAATCCACATCGCACAGAGCAAGTGAGCCCAGCGTGACGAGTTGGTCTGCTTGAAACCGCCTTCGGTGTTCGGGCAGAAGATGCAAGTCTAGATATATGTTAGCATAGGAATAGGAATCAATCAACAGTATAATAACATACTAGCACACCTCTCCCAATAAGCTGGCACTTCCTGCACAGCCACTGCCCCTCCGGAATAAAGGGAACCCCATAACACTCCTGATGCACAGCCAAATCGCAGCCATCACAAAAGACAATCGCATTCGTATTCTCACAGTCCCCATCATCACAGATGGCGCACTTGCTATCCAGCTCATCGCCCGCCTGCGGCTCACCATTCACCGCAGCAGCGGAACTGGATCGCGGCCTGTGAGTCTGTGGCGGCTTTGGGTTTGGCTTTGGAATCCGCTTTTCGAGCGCATGCCACTCCTTCTCGATCTTTGTAATAGTAATCTCAAACATCTCGCGGGAGATGGGTTCAATGCCAGCAGCTTTGCGTTGTGTTTGGTTGAACGCCTCAAGCCACTTGTCGTCCTGCTCATCCATATCGTATTCAACCCTCCCCACGGAGCCGCCCGTAATCGCCACCTCGCCGCCCTTGACTGGCAAATCCAGGTCTTCATCGAGGTACGCATCATTATGCTTGATCATAATATGCTCCGAGCGAATAAATATATCCGTCTCCTGATATCCCACATTCGCCATACTTTTCTCCACATACTTGACCTGACCCGCTGCCTTATCCTCAAACTTCGCCAGCGCGTCCACCTTCCGATACGACGGCTGCGGCAACGTGAGTCTTTCTTTCGGATTCTGGTTCTGTAGCGGCGCAATCATAGTTCCCATAGGCGAAGGCGCAAACCCCACCGACTGTGCCGCCGCCCTGGCTGCATAGAACGCCACAGGGTCTCGCGGCGGGCGTCCAGGTCTCCTCTTCGTCGGCGGCGACCCCTGCGTCATCAGCTCCCCATTCATCACCGCCCCCGGAGTAATAGCCCCCATCGAAGTCGGCGTATGTGAACCCTCCACCTCCCCCTCCAGCTCCCCGTCCACCTCCTTAGGCAGCCCATCAACCTCCTTAGCACTGTAGGTCCTCAACCTAACCTCAATATTTAAATCAGGGTGAAACTCCTCCCATGACCGTTCTTCACGGGGCTTATACCCATCATTCTGGACCACTGCCGCTGCTGCCTGTGCACTGCTATTGAACCTCATCTTTGGCTGTTGATTTCGCGGTAACACCGTGCGCGTCCTATCGCTTCGTGCACTTCGAACACCTCTATCGCCAGATCGAGGATTCCTCCCACCACCACTCCTATCACTTCGATCTCGCCTAGCGCTAGAGCTCGGATAAACAACCGGTAGAACCCCCTTCCGCGCATTCTCCTGCCCCACCCGTCCACGGGGCCCAACATAATTATACCCCCCCGGCCCCGTCCCTCCCACAGGCTCCTCATTCCCGTCTTCGTCCACGTATCGACCACCGCCTCCGGGACCTCCAGGCACATACCGCCGCTTCTTGTGGGGAGGCTCAGATTTCATGACCAGCGGGATGGGAGACCCGCGTTTGTTAGGGCTGCTGGTGATGCTGTCGCCGCCGCTGCGCGGTCGGGTGGCTTTGCGCGCGCGGCGGGGTGTGTGTGGCATTGGCGCCATGGCGGGTGTTTGTATGTGTTCGATGCGTTCAATCTGTTCGGTAGGGTGCAGTTGCAGTCGATGCTGCTGGGGCGCGTTCGTTTGGTTTGCGATTGCTGGGAGGAGAGATGGATGGCGTCGCTGTTGTTTGAGGCTATGCGCAAGGAGCAGGTGCGCGCAGGGTGACCATGCCACACTCACTGCTTCAAGGGTCGCAGGTTCTGGTCGCAAAAAAGAGAGTGTGAAAGAAGAAGCGTTTACGAGAGGGCAAGCTGTTGGGTTGCGCTTCGCATGATGCCGAGTTGGGCTGTCGTCGTTGGTCTCAGATCTGGTGTACGCGACAGATCCATCCTAGTCTCGACGGGGTGGATCGTGCGCGATCATGCCAAGAGGGGTGGTGGGGCTAACGCTTTTGGGATGATGGTCTTTTTTAAAAGGTTCGGGATGGATTCTAGGGTGTGTTTGGGGGGATTTGAAAGGGATTTTTATAGTATTGGAAGAGAGGAGGGTATATGATGGGCGGTATGAAAGGATGGGGGGTATGTTTGTGTATATAAAGGCGATATTGATATATCTATGGGCTGTTATTCTAAAGTATGAAGTCAGTCTGATTTGGGAGTGCATTCATGACTCCAATTCTCGGTATGAGTGACTTCCGTCTGACAAGAGATTTTGCCATATAAAAATTCCTACAACGAAGACACTTAATCCCCTATCGCAACAAAGTTCGCTACAAATTCTATAGTGGGCTCCACAGCCGGCGGCCAACTTAAATACCTACTCCAGCCTACAGCCCATATACTTCTAAGCCTGCATCCATCCCTGGAAAAGCCCACACTTCGCTCTCAGCTCCGCCAAAGCACTTCAGGCTCCTTAGCCCACGGTCTTCGTTGTCTGCGATGAGGTGGGAGAGATATAGACGTGGGGTTGTAATATGGAAGTTTGGGTCTGTCATTTTGAGTGCGGGGTTGGCAGTGCGGGGTTGGCAGTGCGGGGTTGGTTTTGGTGCTGAAAATAGAAAGAGATAGAACGATATCAGCGATGGTTTTGTTAATGTAACAGTGGGAAGTGGGCTCTACATGTGTCTTAAAGGCAGATTCAATAATCGATTTGTACTTTGACTCATACTTACAGTGGCTCATCTTTTAGTGCTGGGTCAACCAGCGTGCGAAGGATCCAGACGATCCTGCCGGTAGTTTAAGCCTCGAGTAGAAGCTGCTTATGAGACTTATGCACCTATAACCATAAGTAGAATCCCACATTGCGATCGTTTGTAACTACGACTAAATTTGAACACAGTGTATCTATTAAATGATTAAGGAGGTAGATAAACAACATTAAATATCATTGAAAGCTCAAAAACTAAATTTACAGTTATCGACATAAAACTACTACAAAAATCGTTCAACGGCCATGCTCACCCCCATTACCTTCATCCCCGATGTCATTGCCGTGTTCTAGCGTCCGACCCCCTCGCTTTATACAAGCCATGTTCATACGCCCAGCTGAAAATACGATCAAAGTCGCGGCATTGATGAACAGCTCCCATGCCATTAATACCAGCTTTTGTCAGGGGCTCGAGTGTCACATCGCCTGCGCACATTATTGCCTGGCGGATATAGTCCAAGCAGTGGTCGCGGTGGAGGAGGGTTTCTTCGGGGGACATTGTTGTGATGCCTTCAGGGTAGTAGGCAGTGCGAAGAAAGTTCTGGAGATTATCAGCAAATTGTGTAGCCAGGGACGTGGGGAAGGCCTACCAGACAATGAAGTTGGTGGAACATGGAGACGCCGTATACTTTCGCTGTGGCAGGGTTGTTGGGCGCAGGGAGTGAGGCGGCCAGACTGGTGGTGTACTCTGTTGGAACTTCGATGATCCCGTCGCCGGCTGGTGTTTGCAAAAATTAGCATTGGCGTTGGACTCGCATCTCGTAGGTTCAAAATAGGAGGGCTTATCCACTTACGCGGGGACAGTCTCTGCCATATCTCATCCGTTGCATTGGAAGGTAATCCGCCATAAAACTTGTGAGGCTGGAATGTTACTCGACTCGAATAGGGCACTGATGCGTTAGTCTATGAAGATAGAAACCGTGGATATGTTATATACTCACAGTCTGGCCCGAAATGATCAGTTGCGGGCGTAGAATCACACCGAAACCTTCCCACCAAAATAATTACATGGGTCCAGATTGAAAGGCCAGCAATAAGAAACAGCAAGGTAATTATAAGTGGCCAGTTTTGCCATGGTGTAAAACATCGTCGAGTAGAGCGGCGTGATCCTTTAAACTGGCCACGACTATCAGCATCAAAAGGTAGTCCTTCATCCCCGACCATTAGAGATGTGCTTGAGTCGGCATGTTTTGAAGAATATTCAGAGGAGACATGGGAATCGCTAGCGATAAATTTAGACATTGTTGTAGGTCGACGACGGAGTGAGAATTAGAACTTGGTTTAACGAAATTGTATAATCACATGCACCACTCGAATCGGCTGTAACATTAGATTAATGTGTAACAGGCAAAAGTTGGAGACCTACCCCGCTTTGAAATAGAGAGTCAGCTTACATGTTCACATTGACACTTATGAGTCTTGTTATCTTGGTTCTTCATGTACAGTATCTGCACGACCTGCCCGATGGATGTGCATAGATGGCCCAAGAAAACGATTAGTTCTCGGCGAGACCGTAGATTTTATAATTGTTAATTTACCCCTCGTTTTAAAATGTGGCATCAAATTGCTCTGCAACGTCCTGGGAAAAAAAATCATACCTTGACTTTTGGCTATATCTCATTTCATCATGATGTCGATCCAGAAATCTAGCAACACTACCCCTTTCCTCAATCCCGTCAGCAGCTCCTGGCTCAACACCAGCATTTTCCTCATTTTTCTTCTTGCTTTTACATATTTCCAATGGCAATCGGAAGTGATAAGAAATTTCAGCAACTACTAACCAAACAGCGGGGAAATAGCAGACTTTGGTCTACGGATCCTAAAGCTGAGGGTTTCGATACTGATATCATGCGCCAGCAGTGTGCGACACAATGTCCTGACCACAGCATCAAGACGCATATTTTATCCACTGACCCCCCCATCATATGCACCAAGGATTATCTAAGACAGGATGCGGCAAGATACCCCTTTGAACATCGCGTTAGCTATTCGACTGCAGATAAGTTTCAGCTAAGCTTTTGCTAATGTTAACGCCGAAAGCATAATTTCTCACTACAAGACCTCGCCCGCCTTCAAAGGTTTCGAGCCAAAGGCTTACAGCAAAGACATTCGCTCCTCGGAGTCTTATGATGCAGTTGTCTGTCTCCTGCATCGAGGCCCGACCCGCCTACTTCCAAGACTACTAACCTGTCAGCCACCTTGAAGATCCTCAAAGCAGTCAAATACGACATTAGTGACCACTTTCGGTCCTACTTCGACTGGTTTTCGGGTATGGCAAACCCGCGCATCTCGATGATCTTTGCCTACGTTGAATGTGATGACTGTGTCGGAGGTGCTACACAGTTCCCTGAGCTTGTTAGTAGGTTATGTGCCAAATGGTGTATCAACTGTGAAGCTGACTCTGGAGCTGGGGACGTTGCATTCAAACCCCTGGGGGGAAATGCAGTGTAACGGTCAAACTTGTTTCCAAATGGCACTGGACACCCTGGTGTGTGGCACCCAGAAATGCTGATCAAGAAGGGAGGAAGGTTGGCTTGAATATTTTTACTAGGCACAACGTTACATATCTCATTGAAGAAAAGTGGCCGAAAAGCAACTGAACATTGTATTTTAAATGCAGGATCATAAAATACAACCTCTTGGGTGCTGTAATATCTTATCATGCGATCTCTGATCTTGATGATGGCGGCTCAGAGCTAATCCGAAGGGTTTCACTATTGAGCACGCGAGCTAGGTAATTATTGACCTCCCACTTTCATGCGTTGCAATATAGCCTGATCAAGCATCCCGAGAAATATGCATCCAACGTATAGCTCTTGGTAAATCTTATCCCTAATTGGAGGGGGGTAATGCTGTTGGAAGACGAGATAGGAAAGCATGTCAGCTCGTGTATGTACGGGTGTAGCTTGGGAAATGCCCGAGATCACGCATAGTGATCACGATGAAAATTACAACCGCCTAGAACTCGGTTTATTTTGCTCCGTTTATTAGCTACCTATCATAGCGATAGCCTCATTCCAAATCCATAAAAACTGCGAAGATGGCTGCAGAATCACGAAATAGGAAGCTGATTACTCCGTAACACAACGGAAAGTAACACAACGGAAAGTAATACGACCGAAGATGCACCTCACATATCCGACTCTTTCCGTATTAACACGACCTGAAGTTAAAGCTAAGCACCCCATTCTATTCTTCAGCAAATATTTTCTTCTCACGTCCGAAAGCCAGTTCTTAAAGTCTACGGTATGCTGCTTCTTCCAGACGCCTATTCTAATCATTCATGGTTGATTATTCAATAAACTAACAACACTAGGTCTATACTCATCACCATGAAATTCTCATCTGCTTTCACTGCTGGAGCTCTGTTGTTCCCGGCCCTCATTTCTGGTGCGCCTATCATTGATGGCGGAATAGAGAACCGTGAGGACGCAGCCGCGCCCGCGCCCGCCTACGTCTGGTTGGCGTCTGGCAAGAAGCGCAGTCCTGTTGAGGAGGTGGCCGAACCCCCCACGGCCTACGTCTGGACTGCCCCCAATAAAGAGAAGCGGAACGCTGCTGTGGACGCGGACGCAGCCGTCTCAGCCTACGTCTGGACTGGCTCCAACAAATAGAAGCGCGACAATTATGGGGCGTCCCTATTTACGTCTAGGCCTCGATGGGAGGGTAGAAATCCAAGAGCAAATCTGTGAGCGGTTATATAGCTACCGTTCAAACTATTAGTTACACAGGCACTATCCTTAATCCACCTATTTACAAGATTTCTCATCCATCATATTCAAGCTGGCGCTTTCACAGCCGCCCTTTTTTTTTGACATTGTAGCCCAATCATTATGCTGCGTAGTATTTCCAAATGTTCGATTCGCCCCTGTCTAATCTCGTTGAAATTCAAACTTGCTTGTATGGTAACTTAAACAGTCCGGCTAAAATTCACAAGTCGAACATACCAGTGGGTGGCTGAATGCCACATCGTACCCGTTCACAATGCATTGCATGCTTGCGAAGAAAGTCTAGATTGTAGATCCGCGTCATCAGAGCTCGAACCAACCCAAAAAGGTGTCTGCATCGACTTGCTTCTTTCCATTGACGTAGTAGCCCAGTCCCTCTACGGAAATCGTGAACGAGACCTGTTGAGAGGCGCCTAGTTCAAGATTCAGTGTGGCCAATAGTCCAAACAGTTCAGTTCAGTTCAGTTTAGAGGGTCAAACTGAACTGAACTGAACTGTCGAGATCTCAAACTGAACTGATAACATTTGGCTTGAACTCACTGATAAACGGACTGATAAACTGATTGTTGGAGAGTAGGCCGTGGGCGCTGGGATACGGTGGTATTTGGCCCTATAATCCACTACGGCATCCCAGGATCTCCGACCGGTGCTGGAAACCACCACAGTCTCAACTGGGGTTTCAGCTCTGAAGCCACCAGAATAGGGGGCTTTTGGGGGGTCGAAGCAGAACCTCCGAAAGGCCTACAAATAGCCACGTAGGCCCATTAGATAGTGTAGTTAATCAATCGATCTTATTTTGCTATAGTAAGCTATATACTGTGTGAGAACTCCTGCCCCGTTGCACCCGTGAGAAGTCCCGACCACTGGAGAAACCACATGATTTGTGTGTGATCCCGTACCACGGTACTTCCTGTTCCAACACTGATAAACTAATAGTTTGTACACGTGATTCCATATGGTAAACACCAATAACTTCAACATGCAATAACTCAATAGTCAACACCTCAAATAACTTAAAACTAGTTCAAATTGCAGTCCATGATCTGCCGGATACAGCTAGACTAGTATGGCTGAAGTAGAACTGATCTATCAATGACCAACAGGTCAGAAGGCACTTCAAGATCATCCACATATGGTATGCTCCCCCGGCACAACCACGACTTGCAACACTCAATCGCCTGAATAGACTCGATGCCTAGCTGATTCCTGCGGTCAGTAAGAGTGATTTTACAGGCTGAAAAGAGACGCTCCGGCTCTGCTGACATTGCTGGAATCGACAACATATCCAAGGCCATGCGGCTAAGGTTTGGGTAGGTTAGTCGTTGTGTTGGTTCCAACCACCAAGACCATGGGTCCCTGACTTCTGGAAGTGTTGGGGCTTGTAAATACTTTGCATATTCATCGCTTTCGAGGCCGGTTTGTTGCTTCCGCTGAATATATTGTGTAAAGGAATTAGAGACCCCAGAATTTGCTGACTCTGTTGCCTGGGATGCTTGCGTAGGCACTGAAACTGCAGTCGACTTGTAATCTGACTCCCAGAACTCCTGCATCTTTGCCTTACAATCGGCATGCCATTCCTTCGGCCAGCTACTTTAAATATAATCCCATTTCCATTGTGGACATAATACTAAGGCTGCAATATAAACAGGAGATCTGTCGGTGAGGGTGTAGTACTTATCCAACTTGGCCCACCCTGTGTTGCAGCAAGGACTCATAAAAGGATCCTCAGCATATACTCGCTTAGCGTCTTCAAACTGCTCAAGCAGAAAGTCCATTGATAGCAGTACTTTATCGATTGTGTCACCACGAGCTTCTGTAGAAAGTGTGGCGTGGAGAAAAAACAGGAGAAAGTCCTGAAGCTTTTGAAGCTCAATCTAGTCCTGCTCTGACAATAAGTCGCGGTCGTTCTCTTTATATTGATGACAATAGAGATTGACAGGCATTTTGAGAATTATAGCAGTGCTGATCATTTTGTACCAAGAGTTCCACCGTGTCGAGTTGTCCCGTGCAAGGTTACGGCCTCCGCTAAGCTCTTGAAATCTAGCGATCCGTTGCGGGCTCCTTTGTATATGAACTACAATGTTATGTAGCCTGCCAAGTGGCCCTTTCTTTCTCCACCGTGCCATTTCAGCTTCTGTGGGGAGCGACAATAGCTTTGTATTGTTCTCTTCTGCAAGAGCTTCATCCTCAGTTTGAAAGAGAAAGGCTTGGGCTGCCAGATTGATGATGTGGCCATTACACCGAAGCCTGTGAGAAAGTGGGTTGTAGTAGATTTTGTACTGATCCAAGAGCACTGTAAAATGAGTTAACTAAAGTCTAAAACATGAGAATGATTTATACAGACTCTCAGATAAAGACACCGTCATTGTATCATTATTGTCTGCATTGTCCATTACAAAGTATCCAACCTTTGAAGCAATCCCATAGTCACTAATGACCTGCATAATGATCTGCGCTTGATTCTCTCCTAAACTCATTCTTAATGTTTTCCCTCTATCTCCTTTAAGGCAAGTACAGAATGTGTCAACTCCCCATTTTCACTGATATAATGCGCAATCATTCCAAGAATCGCTAGGGAATTAGGGGAGGACAAAGATCTACAGTAAAGTGGACTTTGGAGAGTGCAGATTGGACCTTCTGTTGTATCCGTAGTTGCTCATTTTCATACGTACGGAGCGTCCACGCTTGTATTGACATATGCGAATCAGGAAGCCAAACATCCACTTCTGGATTAAGGTAATGAAGAAATGCCCTAAATTCCTCTCGGGAAACCATACGAAAAGCAGCTATCCACCGCACGTAAAGGTGCTCTAGTACTGCAGGATCCATCGTATGCTCCGTATCTGGCTCTTCAGCTAGGCGGCGGCGTTTATAGCTAGTCTCTTGGCCCCGGTCCATAGCTTCTTTAATGCTGGTTTGCCGGGAGAGGACTTTCGCGGCTTGTGAAGACATTATATCGACGCTATGAGCCTTTATTAAATGACTCGATATATTAGCAGTGCCTCCAGACTCCAGATACTCTTTGTGACATAGCTTGCATCGCCAGAGCATCTTTCCACTTGAGTTGGTAATACGTGTCTCCCGTGAGGTTTCATTGTAGTCCCATATCTTTGATCTGCAATCGCGTTTTTGTGTAGGAGTTGAGAGAGAGGATGAACAAGGTGCTCTAGATTGTCCGCTGTCAATGATTGACAAGCTATCAGACTGTTGGGAGGCCATAGTGGTTTATATTGTAGTACTGAATTGTAACCAAGGAATCTAGGTATGAAAAATGAATAGCAGCAGACGAAAGAATAGTGAACAAGATTGGTAGGTACGATAGGCAGCAGTGGTCACTGTCTAGGCTTCCACGTAGCTGTGGAGAGCAGCCTGTTGGGGGAAGGACCGAAAAATTGTCACCGTGCACAAATCGTGTGGCGGTTTTGTCAGTCGGACCTTCAGGTTTTGCGCAATGGGCAAGAAGGCTTCGACAATAGATTACAGCATTCGGGTCAATTGATTCTAACTATTCTAATGGCCTACTCACTATTTATGGGCGTTTTGGGGCCCTACAGTAATTACCGTAATCCTCCGTATGCCCACTGTTGGGTACAGAGTTTTCACCTGCCCCGCTAAGGGCCATGGAACGCTGGCCCCCTCGGTGGGGATTACCAAACTTCTAGGCCAAAAACCCGGAATCCCTCAGCTCCCGTTCCGATTCCCAACAAGCCTAGCACTTGACTTCCCACGTGATTGGAACTAATAGTTTGGACTGAACTGAACTGATATAAATTTTGCTAAACTGAACTGAACTGAACTGTTGAAACCTTAAACTGGACTGAACTGGACTGGACTGGACTGGTTAAACTGATAAACTGATAAACTATTGGCCACACTGAACCATACATCATTACAGTAGTCATGGGCATAGGAGCAGGCTATGAGTACGTATGTAGCTTTGCAAGAGCTATAACGTGGCTTACTAGCTAAATTCCTGCTTTCTAGAAAGCTGATATAATTGTAGACTCCTTAAAAGTCTATAGCTACATTTTAGTAAGATCCCTCATAAAGCACTATAGGTCATACATAACATCCATATCACTTATATTTTATAGCCACTAGATATAGGGATCTTCTAGCTGTATAAGCACTAGGACAGAGAGACTGTGCTTGCTGCCATAAGATGGGATGGGAACGTGTATATGATAATATTATGTTTTTCTGTAGTAATGATAAAATCATCGCTTGTATGGCTTACATCTAGTAGAACCTTCATTTTCTCATAGGGAGTATGCTCTGCAAAGTGCTCTAGCTACTGTAAGGCAAGCTGGCTGTTTGAAAATCTAGTGTTAGAGAGCATGATCAGCTCTATGCCTTGAAGGTTGGCGTGGTACCAAGAATCCATGTATATTTTGCCCGGAATGATAAGTATAGGTGGTATGACTTTTCTGTCTACAGACACAGCCTCAAGTATAGTAATAGACATATGATATTATATGCTCTCTACCTAGAATTACAACCCGAAAGCTAGTTTCATCCATATTCTAGATTAACTCTAGTTTTATACTACACTCTAGTATAAACCAGCCGTACTCTTGAAATCACTTTAGAACTGTAGGCTCATCTTAAGCCTTCGTATGCTACTACGCAATTAGCTTCATAGTAATAAAGTGATATTCCTTAAGCTCATTCCATATAAATTTTGTAAGCCAGCTCTATGACGTGGGCAGCTGTGGGCTCCGGAGCTTATAGACGCACTTTCTGACGAGCCGCGTATTGCTTTCTCTCAGGTTGGGCAGCCGCGTATTGCTTACTCCAACCTTAAGCGAAGCGAAAAGTTTGGAGTAAGCGAGTTGCGGCACTTCATGTGAGAGGAAGCAGGTTGCGGCAACTCGCAACTTGCATAT